AGAGATATGATTAATTTAGCAAACAAATGAAGGATTAGCTTGACTTGAGAAAGCTGGTTAATTAATTTAGGGAAATCCGTCATCTCATGCAATAACACTATTATTTGAACTTGAATTAAATTAATGAAACAGTTGAATAATTCAGAATTAAATGAAATCCAAACCCTAGTTCCCTCTCATTCATACTTCCTTTAACTTAGAAAATTCTTTAGTTTAATTTTCTTTAGTTGACTTAGTTTTCTTTTAAATAGTTTAGTTTTCCCCATTAATTGGTTAATTCAACTTAGGTTAGATTAATAGGGTCTTGGTAGTGTAGGATAGTTTTCGAGGGAACGATATCTTACTCATCTTATACTGCATAATCGATTAGGTTCACTTGCCTAAAAGTAGTGCGTATTTGGTGCATCACAAGTCATTACCCTTCCCTTTCTACTCAAGGTTGATCCACTAGTGTTTTCCCATTCTTCTAAACGCCTCTTTTTCTTAGGCCTTCCTGGTGTGTTTTTTGGAATTGGAGGATCAACTTCAGGCATCCCTGAATCAGCCCACAATTGCATTCCATCAATAGGAATTATTTCATGTTTGTATGTATCATTGTAGGCTTGTTTTCTATAACATGGGTGCATATAATCTTCATAGTTCTCGTGCCTATGTTGGATGACAAGCATTCTATGTCTATAGGGAATACCATTGAGTTGCCAAACTCTACAACTACAAGTTTGGTCCCGAAGATTGACTAGAAAGGAATATGGTCCTTTTTGTACTTCATAATGCCATCTTGCTTGTGATTTTATATGGCATCATGACATTTTGTCTCTATGGTCTTCAATCTTCTCCCAAATCTTTAGGCCAAATTCACCTTTGAACTCTTTATTAGCAAACTCCAACTTTCCAATGTTCCTTTTGCTGGACTTTCTTCTAAGATCCTTTAGCAGTGAAAGAGGACCCTTATGCCTTGCATCTAGAATGAAACCATTGAAAGTTTCAGTCATGTTATTGTCAATTACATTGCATCTTGCATAGGTATCCAAAAATGCCTTGCACCAGACTTTTGGGTCCAGCTTCACCACATAATCTTTTACTGCAGGCTTCAATTTACTGAGCTCCTCAAGATTCCTCTTCAATTCAGCTTCATTTGTTGATTTGGCAGTGATCCAAAACCATCTTTGCAATGCTTTACACTTGTGTTCCTTTCTAAAATTTGCATAAATATGTTGAGCACATGTTCTATGATGTGCTTTTGGGAACAAATTCTGGATAGCATTAATCATCCCCTACAAAATGGAAAAAGATAAATTACTTTCTTTAGTCATTGCTTGCACAAGTATATAATTCATTAATAAAACATAAAAATTTACCTTTTGTTGATTAGATACAAAAGTATAATATTCTCCATCACCAATTTTGAGATCATGATTCAAAAACTCCAAGAACCATGTCCATGTGCTTGTGCTTTCACCCTCCACAATGGCCCAAGCAACTGGATACATTTGATTATTTGCATCCCTTCCAACTACAGATAGTAATTGACCCTTGCAAAGACCTTTTTAAAATGCACCATCTAGACCAAGTATTGATCTACAACCAGCTATAAACCCTTCTCTCAATGCAGCAAAGCAGACATAAAAGCGTAAGAAAACAGGTTTAGAATTTGCTGTAGGACTCCTTGCATCAATCTTGAATGTAGAAGTTGGATTCTTCTTCAGTAGCTCTAATCTGTAATCAAATAATTTCTTATATTCTTGCTCACAGTTGCCTTGAACCTCTCTGACAATAATTAGTTTTGTCCTTCTAGCTTGACTCATTGTGATCTTAAGATGGAGTTCCTCATGAATTGCTTCTTGGATATTGATTTGGGAAAGTGCAGTGGTTGAAATGCCCCTAGTCTTAATGAAGTGTCTAGCTAAAATTCTTGATTTAACCCTCTTGTTGTTACAACTCAAACCACATGTAGCTTATCTTTGTAAGTTTCTATCATCCAGCTTTTTGTCTTACCATCAATGGACAATAGCAAAGCCCAATTGCACCTATTATCTGCACATACAACCCTAACTCTTTTTTTATCATTCTTCTTCAAGATTGTTTGTCTTTTGAAATAAATAAAGTGTGTTAGAACAAAATCTTTAAACTGCTTCCTACTCAAAAAAATCATTCCTACTTCAAATTCTGAATTGATAGTGGAGTCATTGAACACCTTGTGTAGTGATCACCTTCTTCTTGCTTCCTCTGCCTCACTATCATCACTAGTTGTAACAAAGCTAACCTCATCATTAGAATCAATTGAGTCACTGAGGCCATCATCAACAAATGCTTCAGTTGGATCAAATAAAGCCCCATCTATATCAACCTCATCTCCATATAACTTAACATTATCCTTGTATGGAGTCCTTGCTACTTGCCACTCCTCATCCTCATTGTCGATTAACCAAGGAACATCAATATACTCATCACCACTGTTCACATCTTCTTTAGTTCTTCCTCGTGCTTGTGCACAATTTCTAGTATGTTGTCCTACAATTGGTGTTTGAATCTCCTGGGTAACACAACCAAAACCATTTTCCCATTCCAAATCAACCCTAGATGCATGCAAATTTACATTACATGCCACTGTCTCACCAACCATTAAAACACCATTTACTGAACCATTATTCCCATGAAAGGGCCCACCTTTTGTCACTTGTTTCTCAATTTCAGATTCATGTTCAACGTAGACATCTATATACCCATGATACGTTAGTAGTTCAAACATGTAAACAATTGAGTCATTAGAAACAATTAACTCAAGGCCTTTATCAAGCTTCTTTGCAAGATTTTTATACCACACAAAATCTATCATCCCATCTATGTCAATATGCAAGCTTTGCAATTTCTCTCTCAAAATACGGGGTTCAAAACTACTAAGTTTGAACCATATAGTATGAAAACTACCCCCGACATACCGAAATGTTGGGTCCCTAATGAATTTGCCCCCATAATTCAAGTATATACCATATTCAACACAATCAACCATTCCACCTGCAAAAATTAGGGACCACACGGATTAGAAAAGAACAAAAGAATAATATCTATTTCATTCTGTAAAGTGGGGGACAACACCAAATAAATAACTAACACCATAACATTATATTTAATCAATCTTTACTCATAGATTACTAATTGATCATTACCTCCTAAAAAGCCTCAGCAATTTTGCTCAAAACACAATGCCTTCCCTTCCTCTTTTCAAAGATTCCTATATTCTTGTACTCTGTATCTTGAGATTTTCACATTTTAGGTAATAAAGATAAAACAAGGCTAAACAATATATGTTACCCAATGGACTGGTCATGTGATGAATAGCCAAGTGGGAAAATTGAAAGTATACTGCCTTTTCTTCCCCTTTTCTTCTTATTTTCCTGTTTGTCTGTCTTGCTTTTTTCAAAGTTTTTCTTTTGGCATCCCGGCAACCCAAAAAAAAAATTAAAAGTATGACATTTCTGCAAAAAAAAAAAAAAAAAAAAAAGAAAGAAAGAAAGAAAGAAAGAAAGCATGGGATCTAAGGGAGGCAAAGTGGGCAAAGTGGTCCTATTCTTGCACAGGTGGCATCACATGTGGCAGCATATGTGAAAAATAAAAAAATAAAACAAATGGGTTTAACTGTTGACTATTTAGGACTTAACGGTCAACAGTGATGGCAACATCAATGCCATCAGGGAAGGGACGAAAATGAACAATAAAAGAGAAGTAAATGGATGAAATTTGGGTCTTTGGTAGAGTAGAGGGATGACAACGAACATATCCTTAGTAGAAGGACAAGAACGAATAAAATATGAAAGTAGAGGGACGACAATTGGCTTTAAACCATCTTTATAATACTAAATAGTTAATTTTTTAATGTATCAAAAATAAATAAATAAATAAAAAGACTCTAAGGATACACTACTGGAAAACGCAGTATATTCGACAGAATTTTCTGTCGAATATGAAGGAATTTCTGTCGATTATGATTTAATCGACAAACATATTCGACAAAAATGGTTGTCGAATAAATTGCAGTCGATAACCAGTATATTCGACAGTAATTTTTCCTGTCAATTAAACTTGTTCAATCCACAGAATTTTACTGTCGAATATACTGATTATCAACATAATTTGGTAGCCAGATTTATAATTTTATCAAGCCATATTCGACAACCATTGGCTATCGAATATATATATATATATATATATTTTTTGAATGATATATTCGACAACCATTATCTGTCGAATAAATTTGTTTGATCGACAGCCAATGGTTATCGAATATGTTTTTTTTTTTGGGTTTAAGTACCATTTTAGTCCCTCAACTTACCACTTTGGTACCAAAATTGTCCCTCAGCTTTAAAAAGTACCAAAATTATCCTCAGACTTCCATTTTTAGTACCAAAATGGTCCTTCCGTCAGTTAAACGCCAGGTGGCTCGTTAAGATGCCACAAAATCACCAGCTTTTTTCTTTTTTAATGACGTGTAAATCCAGCAAGGACATTTTTGACACCGTGGCATTTTTACACGTCAGATTGCTTCCCCACTTTTCAGATTCACTTTTTGTGGGGCCCACATGAAAAAAAAACAAATTGTTTTCTTTTTCCAGTTTTAGTTGAGTTCCCCAACAGTGGCAGTGTTCTTCGTCTTCGTTTCTCTGTCATTTCCCTTTTCAGGCTCGATTCGAAACCAAAGAAACAGAGCAAGAAAAACAGAGAAACCAAACAAAGCAAGAAGCCAAAGAAATAGAGCAAGAAAAACAGAGCGAAACCTAGAACCTACGCTCTTCGAGGAACCCAAGAACCCAGAACTGGGTTCTTCACGAAACCTAGATCTAGGTTCCTCACGAAACCCAGGAACCCAGAACTAAGTTCCTCAAGGAACTGGGTTCCTCAAGAAAACTAGCACCGTCTGGGTTCCGCGAAGAACAAAGATGAACAGGCGAAGATCAGATCTGGGCGACGGCCGCCAGATCTGGGAATTCCAGCGTGCAGCTCGGTAGATTTGCGTGAGGGAGCAAGGAGCCGCAAGACCTGCAAGCAAGCGGGCAACACACAGAAACAGGAAACAAAGAAAACAAACAGAAAACAAAAACCCAAAAAAGGCACCCGAAGGGCTTAGTCGTCGAGAGACCTCATGGGGTCATCGGAGCAGGGAACAGGCCGGCTCCATCGGGCTTGAGCAGCTGGAGAACCCAGCGGCTCAAGCAGCAAAACTCGGAAGCCCAAGGCTTCCGAGCACAAAAACAACGGGATGCCGGAGAAGATGATCAGAAGCCGGAGAACCCAGATCTGGAGAGGAAGAAGAAGAGGGGAAGAGAGGAGAAAGAGAAAGAATAAGAAAAGTTAAAAAAAGTCATGTGGACCCCATTAAAAGGGAAAGTTTAAAAGGTGAGTAAAAAAATATGCCACGTGTAAAAAAAAATGCCATGGTAACAAAATTTTCATAGTTGGATTTACACGTCATTAAGATTCAGAAAGTTTAATGATTTTGTGGCATTTTAACGAGCCACCTGTCATTTAACTGACGGAAGGATCATTTTGGTACCGAAAATGAAAGTTTGAGGACAATTTTGATACCAAAGTGATAAGTTGAGGGACTAAAATGGTACTTAAACCTTTTTTTTTAATAATATATTTGACAGCCATTATCTATCGATTAAACAAGTGTAATTAACAGCTTTTGGCTGTCAAAGATATTTTTTTTAATAAAAAAAATTGAAAATTTTGGACTTAAAAATCATATATTATTTTCTATTAATTTTATATAAAAAAAAATAAAACAAACACAATTATCAAATTACCTAGCAATATATTTATCAAACAATTTTAACAATAATATAAAAAGTAATAGATAATCATAAATAAAATTAAAATTAGCATTAACTTTAATTATTTAAAAAATGAGTAACTCTTTCTATCAAAAATAACAGAAAAAATTTATATCAAGTGATAAGAAATTCAAAAAGAAAAGAAGATAAAAAGCAAAATTATAAAATTTACCTCGCATTACTTCATAATCAACGTATAAAAATCTGAAAAAAAAAAACTATTAGTATGTTAAATAATAAGAATTCAACAAAAAAGAGAGAATAGTGAAAAGAAAAAGATGATTAAAGGTAATTTATGAAAATATAAAGAGAAGAATGTAAAAGAAAATAAAAGGAGAAGAAACTTAAAAAAAGATGTTATTTGCGGAAAAAAAAGGAGGAGGAGGAGGAGAAGGGAAGAGGCAAAAAAATGAAAATGAGAAGAGAATGAGATGGTCTGCTATCGAAGTAATATTTATGTCAAACATATTCGACAGAATTGCTGTCGAATATGTTTAAAATGTAATTACCGGGAAAAATTCAATCTTGTCCTTGGTAACCGGGAAATTCAATTTTTTTGGGGAGAGGCGCGAGACATGGGTTATATTCGACAGCTTTATTGGCTGTCAAATATACTGAGGTTTTTTTTTTTTTTTGGCCGGAACTTGGAATTTTTTCTAGCTGGGGAAATTCAATTTTTTGGCTGGGAGACGGCAGGGGTGGGTTATATTCGACAACCAACATGGCTATCGAATATAACACCTATATTCGACAGCCGTG